CAGACAGACAGACAGACAGACAGACAGACAGACAGACAGACAGACAGACAGACAGACACGAGCTGTTTTCTTCTTTGGTGTAATTATCCCCTAGATGCCAGCATCATCTGCCAACAGCTGTTTTCTACAAGACATTATTCCTGGGGGACTAATGTCAAAAGAAACAACAAACAGTTTGGCTAATTGAAAAGCTGCAGTGATTCGCTTAACAACGGTGGCAAGAAAGGTCATAAAATGGGGCAAACTCACTCAACCCATGTTTGGCTCAGCAGCAGAAATTTTGGACTCAATTCTGGTCGTCCAGTTGAGGACTGCCTGTACTGTTATCCCAGGTAAAACTGACAATCCAAAATCCATCACATGCAGTAAGGAAACTCCATTGAATGGAGGAAAGAAGGAATGGAAACTAAGAATTAAATTAAAAATCCATTAACTTTTAATTAAGTGGCCAGCGGTGTTCTGGAAGGGGGAATTGATTCACCAAGCATAACAGAGTATCCAGACCAGCAATTCTTAACACCAATCTATAAACATATTTTAAGGCCTTCTGCATTCACAGATCCAAGCTTGTCGCGGTTTCAAAGACAGCGACAATTCATTTTGGCCATTGCCTTGGTATTGTTTACACTGAATTATACAGCAACAAATCAGACCACAAAATAGCTTGCTGTTGGTAGGTTAAAGCAGGAAAATCAATTTGTCAAGCTCCATAATTGAAGGCATTTTAAAAGAACGGGTAGCCTTTAACTAAACAGCAGGAAGGAAATATTCAAACTCACTCCAGCTCGGTAGTAGATATACTTTTTCTTTTTTTTAATCGTTTCGTACCTGCAGATGTCCATATTCCTCATGAGAAAAGACCTCATCACCTGTGTGAACGTCGAAAATGGAATGCAGGCATTTGGAGGGCTTGGGATCTTGCTTATATTGTTGAACCTGGCAGGGGGAAAAAAGATTACATGTAATTCTACGCAAACATATGGATGGGTCAAGCAACCAACATGAACTATAGCGCGAGCCACTCAACATCGCCGCGATTGGATTTCTAAGGAAAGCGCTGTGAGTTTTGCAGCCAGTACCTGTTACATTTATAATTCTTCTTGGCAAAATGTAAGGGTTTAAAACGGCTTCCCAGAAGGGGAGATTGAAAAAGCATCATGTCGTGTAATGTAAATGCAGCAACGGCAAATATGTTATTGAATCAAAGGCAATTCCTTCTTTCTTGTCAATATTACAGTTGGTTTTTTTTAAAAGCATTTCCCTGTTGAGATAGTAAGAGCAAGGGAGTCCTGCTGTTACTTTGCCATTCTCAACTTGGCACTTATGAAAAGAATAGTGAATGCAAAGGTTTCTTTTTATCTAGGGAGGATTAAGTTTTTCCTATATAGAGTCTATGGAGATTCTCAGCCATCCAGGTCGTGGTTGTCCCAAGAGGCAAACTGGACTTCCTTGTTTTTTCTTTGAAGACATATTGCTTCTCATCCAAGAAGCTTCTTCAGCTCTGACTGGATGGTGGGAAAGGGAAGGATTTATATTCTTTGCAAACAGATGATCTTTTCCATTTTTTTAGAGGGTCGATGAGGCCACTCGGAGGTTTATCTGCGTCCTCGGGGTCACCTGAATAGCACAAATGGTTTCTGAGGTCTGGAAATCCAGACTACAGGAATCATTTGCACCGCTCAGGTGACCCTGAGGACACAGATCAACCTCCAAGTGGCCTCAGNCGGTAGAACCGGTTCGTCAAATCTATCGAACTGGTTAGAAGAGGTTCCACCAGTGGACCCGGAAAGCAGGCCACACCTACAGAAGAGGTTCCAAAAAATTTTGAAACCCACCACTGCAAAGTTCCTTCAGAAGCTTAGAGAACCCTGAAGCACTTTTCACCTGAGTTGGGTTATCTTGTCTTCAAGAGCACATACAATACATGGCGGGCAATTCAAGGAAGAACCCGCACACCTGCAGAAGTTTGATAGTGCAGAAAATGAGCTTCGTTCATCTCGTAATCTCACAGAATTAAACGAGGTTTGGATGGCCCCAAATGCTACCTTTAGTGGGAATGTCATTCTACAGATCTGAATGTTCAGGTACAAGGGAAGCCTGCAATAGGTTGATCCGATAATATGAGAGATAATCCTCTTTGTGTTTGTAAGGAGTTAACGAATATCATTGTTCTACACAGAGAAACAAAACCCATTACATTTATTCAACCATTTAGAACTGGCTCAGCATTTTCATCTGCTCCTGGAGGCAGCTCATTTACCTCCAAGGGAAACAAGGAATAATAATGAATAGCTTCAATACACTCAATAGGCATAACGTCTTGCGCAAGGGATTAGTCTAAATGCGAAATAAAAAGAGGGGGGGAAATGGGGAGGGGCCAGGACAGAGTGAACACCAATCAGAACATTGTCAGGACAAAACCACTCGGCATTAGCGACAAATGCAGAGTATGAGACATGTAACGGGGCAAGAGGAATGCTCTTCCTCCTCTTCTTTCTTTCCTCCTTCCTTTTTTCCTTCTCTTTCTTCTCCTCCACCTCCTCCTTTTCCTCCTACCCTCCTCCTCCTTCTTTCTTCTCCTCTACCTCCTTCCCCTCCCCTCCTTTCTTCTTTTTTCTCCTTCTTTTTTCTCCTCCTTCTGAACCTCTTCCTTCTCCTCCTCCAACTCCTTCTTCTCCTTCTCTTTTTCTTTTCTCCTCCTCCCCTCCTCTTCCTTCTTTCTTCTCCTTTTATTTTCTCCTCCTCCACCACCACCTCCTCTTCCTTCTTTCTTTTCCTCCACCTCCTTCTTCTCCTTTTCTTTTCTCCTCCTCCTCCACTTCCTTCTCCTCCTCTTCCTTCTGTTCTCTCCTCCACCTCCTTCTTCTCCTTCCCCCTTTCCTTTCTCCTCCTCCTCCACCTCCTCCTCTTCTTCCTTCTTCTTTTCTTTTCTTTTCGCCTCCTCCTCCATCACCACCACCTCCTCTTCCTTCTTTCTTTTCCTTTTATTTTCTTCTCCTCCACCACCTCCTCTTCCTTCTTTCTTTTCCTCCACCTCCTTCTTCTCCTTCTCCTTCTTTTCTGCCTCCTCCTCCATCACCACCTCCTCTTCCTTCTTTCTTCTCCTCCACATCCTTCTTCTTCTTCTTTTCTTTCTCCTCCTGCACCACCACCACCTCCTTCTCATCCTCCTCTCTTTATTACAAGCATTTACACCCCCCATTTTAAGAGGCAACCAGGTACGGAGGAATGGTTGAAACTGTAACCCATGCCAGCCAATTTCTTATCCAAATCTCATTTTAGATATGAATATCTCAGATGATGCCACCACCCGGAAAATCACCACCCTTCTAGTCCAGGCCATCCCCAATCCCTTTTATATACAGCCTTACCAATCCCACTGACTTTTATTGTTAAAAAAAACCTGTCACATTTGGGAGCAAGGGATGCATAAGAACTGAAAGGTAAGCATCATATAATTAAAACCAAAAACTCACTACTGGAGGAAATAAACCAGTGGGAGCCTTCAGGTCAATACTTCTCAATTATAGAAGAGTTTATGCAGATTAAAGAGAAGGGCAGACAGCTGGATTTAAGAGACCTAGGAAAAATCTTTCTTCTCTTGTCAAGGTCTGTTTATGGCCGGGTTTATTTTAGTACAGCGTTGGAACACATCACTAAAGGTTTTTTTTTTATTTAAAAAAGTGCTTTAATGCAGAAAACTTGGGACAACTTGACTTCAAATTGTGGGAATCCTTCCCCCTTGAATTTCCCCAGATCTAGGTTTCATATGCAATTGTATGGAAGTCATGTTTCACCTACGCATTCACGATGATTCTACGCGCACTTTAGAAACTGTTTTAAGTGGCACTCCTGGAATGAGCAGAGAATCTCTGCAGGCATTAACAGCCCACTGCGTGCGAGAGAATATAAATGCTGGTATTGATAAGAGATTCTTTTTTTTAAAAAAAGAAACAGAAATGATATTTTAGGAAACATTTATTATTTGACGAGGGAAGAAAACGGTGTTTGGTTTATTAAATAAGTGTAATGCTTTATGATCCCTGGCACACTTACCTTAACCCGGGGATCTCCAAATGGGAAAACTTTTAAGAATTGTGGACATCAACTCTCAGAATTCCACCAGGCAGTAGGGTTGCTTGCAGAATTCTGGGAATTGAAGATCACAAATCTTAAAGTTGCTGCATTTGGAGACTCCTGAATGGTGGGATTCAAAATTTTTTTACTACCAGTTCTGTGGGCATGGCTTGGTGGGCGTGGCAGGGGAAGGATACTGCAAAATCCCCATTCCCTCCCCACTCCTGCGGGAAGGTTACTGTAAAATCTCCATTCCTCCCCACCCCACTAACCTGCTTTCCAGCTCCGTTCTCCAGTGCAGGGCAACAAAATAGCAATAGCAATAGCAGTTAGACTTATATACCGCTTCATAGGNTAGGAAATAAAAGAGGAGCGAAAGGGCTTTTGCAGGAAACAATTCATTCATTCAGTCGTTAGATTTGTTTCAGGAGTGTGAAGATCTGTCCATGAATCTCAGAGACTCTGTGCCAAGTCTTTCCTTGCACTGCACTGCGTTTGGAAAATATTTATACGGCAGTTTCCCAAGCTAGATAAGGTCTGTAGTCATAAATTCACCTTTGAAAGACTGTTTACCAGGCCTTTGCTGAATGTGAATGAGAGGAATTCACGTTCGTTTAATAAAAGGGGTTTTGTCGGGACCAGGAATCAGTTTCGTGCTTTTTGGAGAACGACACTGTACCTTCTCACAAATACACAAGGATGTTTATAGCGGAAAGTCAATGCCGTCCATCAAAAGAAAAGCAGGATCACATAATTACAGCAATATTAGTACAATCAGGCAGCAATGCAAAACCGCTTACAGAAGGCTGTCGTGGGAGTATAGAAAACCATTAGAATGACAAGACCCAGAATTATAACTATTTTCCTGGGCAAGGAACATTTCACTAGTCAGAAATATTGCTTCGTAATGGGATTCCACATTGTCATTCCACAGTGTCATTCGCCATGTGATTGTTGTGATTCACTGCTGTCCTTTGAACACACTTTGATCTGCAGTGTTCATTCTGGAGACCCCGGAAGGAACCAGAAACCATCAAGGGGCTTGTCCGATTGTTGGCGCCAAGGAGATTTAGAAATTTAGAACAGAATAACAGAGTTAATCCCTGCTTAAGCAGGAAACCCTACACCACTTCAGACAAAAGGGACAAATGGAACAACTTGCCACCAGAAATTGTGAATGCTTCAACACTGGAAGTTTTTAAGAAGAATATATTATTTTCTTCATCTTGGGTTTGAATTGGGGGAGATTATTATTATTTTGGCCATATTCTGATAGTTTTGTTTCTTTCTTTAAAAAAAAATCCTTTGTCCATCTCTCTTGCTTTATTTTACTTTTCTTCCCTTTTTTGCCTTGGAACATCTACTTTCCTTCCATCAATTCCACTTTAATTTGTATTCCCTTTCGTGCCAGAGCTGCGCTGCAAAATAAGAGGTGACAGACTCTGCCTGCGGTTTCTGTAAATTCAGGTGCAGGGGTGTGGAAAAGGTAAGTTTCATCACACCTGCCATCCCAAATATCAGGAGAATAACGCTGAGTAATTGCTGGCATATGTCACCTTGTTAGTATTGGAGGGGAAAAAAAACCAGAAACTTCGTAGATAGATCAGTAGCAAATTTACAGGTTAGCATCTGCTACCAATTGTTCCTTCTTATTCCCATTCACTTAGCATTGTGCAACATCAAGAGAAGAAAAATTTACCATGTCAAAAGAAATTTTAAACTACAATCAGCTAGAGGTTGAAAGCTAATTACAGAAAAACAAGGTAGCGGGATTTATATACCTGTGCTGTTACAGGTACTTATGTACCTGTTACAGAAAACAAGGTAACGGAACTTACTTACCTGTGCAACATCAAGGG